TTGCTCACCACCAAATTCAAACGCTTACATTGCCGCTGAAACAGCATGGTTTTTCTAATCCTGCTAGAGGTTGCTTCAGTCAACCTTCCCCTTCCTAATTATGAGCTAAACCTGCCATTTCATTGTGTGTTGCTGTTAGTATTACAAGTATTTGTGTACAAGTGCAACAATGAATGGGCGCTGACCCCCGCAACCGGCCAAGTAAGTGTGACTTTTTCTTAAAATACTTGAAGTAGATCCATTCCTAAATCAAAATTATGGGTTATAATGTTATGCAAGATTATAAACTTTTTCGGCATAACTATGAAATTTCGAATTGTTTCGACATAAGCTTAAAAACTAAGAAGGTGGGCCAATTTTCAAAGCTTCTTAGTTTCTTTGTTTGTGATCGAATAGCTTCCAAATTTCGCCATAATGATACCTATATGCTCACAAGTAATAAACAATAGCTAGAAGAAAAATTTCTCCACGGGGAAAAATTCAGGTCCGAAGGGTTAATGAGCTTGTTAGGAATAACTTTCTTTCTGCCGCAGCCCAAGATCAATGTACACACCATAATCGAATTCAATGCCCTAAGATTTCGTGGAAGAAGTCCAATGAAGAAGAGCGTTAACGAGGATGTTTTATGTTTTTATTGCTCCATTCGAAGTCGTTATGCCCCTCAAAGTCTTTCACTACCTTCGTCGAAATGCGCAGAATGAGCAGAATGACCAGATTTCCTGAGCGCATAATGCTCACGATTCCACATAAGCATTAGAGACGCTGGATGTATAATATATCAAAGCTCAAGCACTGCCCTTAGGCATGGCCTAAGATTGGAGCGTCATTGCCTGAGTTACCTATTGCTCTACGTAATGGAGATGATAAAGGAAAACGAAACTTATTGGTATCCTGAGCATCCTTGAATGACATAGTATTTAACTCCCATAGAGCTCCGCGAAATCACTGGAGGCCACCAACAAGAATTTGCTCCCCGTCGGTGGAATCACCGAAAGGAGGAATGGGTGCGAAGGATTGATGGCTACGAAGCCATTGTTCCTACAGTCATGCTCATCGCTAGGTTAATGCGAGCTATATGGGCAGGCGATTCGTTCCCAGTCACTGAATGTATTCCTGCCGGCAATGAGGAGTAGAGGCCTAATGGGTAGCTAGTCTTCCAAATCAAGATTTGTCTTTTTTTTGTTATTGATGCTATTTACTGCAGTATGTGGTGCGAGGATGCTGTATAGGCAACCCCCCCCCCCTCCAGAAAGGGATCTGCTCAAGTTTCCACCTCTCGCTTTCCCGGCAGAAAATCACGCTCTAAGTGGGAATGATGCAGTATGGTGAATACACAGTCAAGACCACACCTGACGCCTCTCCTCCAAGCACGAGTCCAACTCGTCCGCGCCTCTTAGCCATCGCGACCGCTAAATTCAACACAAAACGGTTATCTGATGGTATATTCGATAAAACAATTGCTCAGTAAATACGCCCATGTAACAAAGTGTCTTTTGTTTCTCAATGAACATTTTTCGACTAGAATATTTACGACATAGGCCTGTTTCTTTATATTACACAGTGTAGTAGAACGGGAGTCCGTTTAGTCTTTTGTTCCATTATTCATAACATTTCAGGTCGATTTATGGGAAGCTGGAAGATTGGTCACGATAAGCGAGCTCTGTGACTTCACCTCAACACCTCTTCTGCTCACGATCAGGAACGAAGCTGTCAACATCCTGTTCGGCCTAAACTT